GGGGGCATGTATACCAACATAATAAATACAATTTTATGAACACACCTCGTATTATCTTTCCTTTCTAACCAAATTGACGTAAAATTTTGCATTTCATTTATTGGAATACCTTATAACAGGTATACCTTTCCTGAAACCGGTATGGGCCGTTAAATCTGCATCTACGTCTACTGGGTTTGTTTTGATCGGTAAAAAATCGATTTGACGTCACAGCTACGTATAGGCGCCATTTTTCAGATTTGGGTGAAAGTTTGTTTTTATTACGTCATTTGTGATTTGAAAATTTAGTTAATATGTTGCTTAATGGCTAATTAAATTGTTTCTTGGGAAACCCTGTTCTAACCATTAGCATAAACCTGTATTTAAATACTTACTACAAAAATTTAAATAAAAAAACAAGGTGTTTATTTACCTACTGCTATTATAATGCAGAAACCTTTCTCTTAAAAAATAATTGTTTTTCCAGACCGCAAATATTTAAATTATGCTTCTTGGTATACTTAATGATGATAAGATTTTTTTAATTATAAATAATATAAAAAATTTAATCATTAAGTAATTAAATGTAATACTATAGACATTTTCTTAATCTTATCATTTAGAATTATTGACATTTGCGGTATTGTTAAGAAGAAATTAAACTTTGCAATGCTATTAAATATGCAGTAATTTTTATTTAAATTTAAATTGTTAGTATATATGGGTGATTCTACAAAAGTTGGACAACTTGATGTTATCAGTCAATAGAGTAGGTATTTTAATATTTTTTGTAAATATTTCAGTTTATTACAAAAGATCCAGGTTTTTTTAACTTCTCCACCCAATTTTAAAGTATTTTTTAAAAAGCACGTTTGTAGAAAAACATAATAAATATACTAAAATATATTCAATTTATCTTAAATTTTTTAATTTCACTACAAACTATAAAACATTAAATAATGTATTTTTCATATTTTATCATAGATTCGAATAATTTCAAAAATCAAAAAATTGATAATCTTTGTACTAACTTTTACCCGTCAGTTCTGTGTCCAATGTTAAAATTCAAAATTCCTGCGAAATATTGAAGTTTAAACGTCAAGTCCCCGTTTTAACTCAAGTGTTGGTAAAAAAATACCTACAGAGCCCGCCCTTTGCACGACAGTCATCTTGAAAACAATCCAAGCGGCGAAGTTGTGGTGAATGCACGTATAGTTCCAGTCAAAATGTCAGTACTGTGGTAAGTAGTTATTTTCTTACGTATATATATTTCATTGTAATTTATATAAGGCTATATGTGATCCACTAATAAAAAATATCAGTAAAATACTTAATTCCGAATTATAATCTCAAATTTGTATCCCATTCGTCAGTTCCATGTTCAATGTTTCGGTTATCTTTTTTTTCGCAAACTTCAATTTAAATTCTGCTTTCGCAGAACTTGTTTATTTAATGTGATTATAAACTCATATAAATTTGGTGTGGGTCCCACATCTAATAATTGAGGTATCGGTATTATTTGATTTTAAGATATTTAATGTATAATATGCAATAAATCTTATATTTTCCAATAAATTATGTATTTACTTGGTACCCTGGTATACTCGTCACTTCCCTTGCACTCAAATTTAGAAAACAGATATTTCAGAAACTGTATGAAAAAGTGACTGGACCGGTCTGGAACAGTATATTTATTATATAATCTATGTTCTCATAACAAAATACTGTTTAATTTTTTTCCGAAAACTATATTTATATTTTGTTTATAAACAAAATGAGGTCAAAAGTTGCCCAACTTTTGTAGAATCACCCATATCTATTTAACGAGTAAAGTGGGTTAAAGTAACGAAATACATCAGTAAGTGTTTTAGTTGTAGTTAATATTTGGGTAAAATTAACAAATATTTTTTTCTGCAGACACATGTGTGTGCGGCATTTTGAGGGTAGCCTCCTTTAGAAATGATTTAAGAGGATTTTTCCGTTGCTTGATAAACAATAAATTTATTGATAATTGAAATGGGCGTGTCAGTAGTTTACATTTTTTAAATTTTACCTGACCACTTAAAATATGAATATTTATTATGTAATATAATATCTATAATATAATTGCAAATACTATCTACCGTTTGCATATATTTTAATATGATTAAAAAATGTATATGTATATATAAGATATTTATTAATTAATTAACATTTATTTATTAACTTCAGCAATTGTTGAAGTATTTATTATAAAGTAAAGTAATTCGACAATAAAAATAATCATATGTAAATATCCTTAACTCTATAAAATTTAATTTAGATAATAAATAAGATGGAATTAATATAACATAAAAAATAAGAATTTTTTAAAGTAAGTAATGTAATAAATAAGTAATTAATTAGATAAAGATTTTAATGCATTGAAACAGTAACCATTTTTATAATGATTTGAAGATATATGGTTTCTGACACTTAACCTAGATTTAACATGAACATACAGGGTGTTTTAGATTTTAATCGTGAAAATTTAGTAGTCAATAGAACTTACAAAAATAATAAGTACATTTTTAACACTTTATCAGTTAAATCTAGTTAACGTTCATATAATCTTTTCAAATATTGCCGTCAATAAATTATTTAATACTTTTGTATTTTTGTATTAAGATAATAAAATAATTTTAACATTTGTTATTATTTTACAAGAAAGGCACTTTATTTTAACGATTGTATGACATTTGACAACTGATAACTTAAAACTAACTTCAGCCCGTGACTAAAGCACCATAAAGCCACAACTTGTCTATGTGTATTTAAAAGATCACTTAGTGTTATGCAAACTTGTACGATAATGGTGGGATAAAGGTGGGAGTGGAAAAAATATATTTTATGATTTTATAAAATGTGCAAGCCTAAGCTATTTGCTGTTATCTTTTGAACAACCTTCTCAGTTTCGTCCTTGACAGTATTAGGCAAAAGAAAAAGTCTCTGTAAGCAATTTCAATTTTATTCAACGTTTATCGGAATTTAAAACAAATTAATGACATAAAAACGGTATGCAAATACCAATGTCTTTTTGTTGGACAATAAATAAGTTAGTTCTCTATAAATAAAACATGTAATTAACCAAATGTCTTTATTAATTCATTTATAATAACGTAGGTAAATTGATATTCTACATATTTATCACGAGCTGGAAAACAAACTTTTCTTACGAGTTGAACATTTTTTTGTATACTATAACTATATTTTATTAAAACTCCAAATTTTTTTTTTGTCTAATTAAATTAGAAAAAAAAATTATTAAAAAAAACAAAACAATAAAATTAAAATATCGTCGATGGTTTAGCAGTAACTTCTATGTAAATTAAAAATTTTTAACCGACTTAAGAAAAGCTTAACATATTTAAAAAAAAACTTACTATTACAATAACAATTATTTAGTTTAATTAGGTATTTTTCTAGGTAGGTACTCTTCTAGCTCTCATACAATGATATATCAGATATATGCAGAATCTAAGTTGCAATTGTATATCTATTTGTTGTTTTTTTATAAATTAATGTGTTTTTTTATATTTATTATAAGTCAAAAATCAAACTCTGAAAAAGTTATTGTAGTAGAGAATTACTATATCGATAGTAAATATAATAAGAAAGTTTAATTTAAATATCATAATTGGTTAATATTTATCAATTACTTACGTTTTAAGATATAAAAATGGCCGTAAATTCATCAAATATTTGTTAAAAGACAATTTTTTACGATTCAGCTCTTTTTTTTCACTATTTTTTGCGAATTGTTAAAAAAAATTGCAAAAAAAAATGTTCATTCAAAAAATTGAACTTTGATGACTCCTACTGGCGAACCACTACGAGTTACACAAAAAAACACAAAGACAATTTTGAAGAGCGTGAAATTCCCTATAAGGTCCATAAAACCGATTCACAATATTGTAAAAAGCGGGCGAGCATTAGAAATTTGAAAAAAAAGCCATTTTTTTTACATGCATTTTAAATGGGAAAACTTTAAATTTAAACTGCAAGTACTTAAAATTGATATAAAGAGCTCTACCTTGGTGAAGATTTTTTTTTCTATAGGTAGATTAATATTTTGCTTGAGCACCGAAAAAAAAAACTTTGCGGAAATGAATCACCCTAATGGACATCCTTTTATCATATTGGTATTTATTGAGTATTAAGGCTTAAAGAAAAAGGAAGTATAATACTTACCAAAAAATAAGAATGTCCCCTTATGGATTCACCGTAATTAAAATCTAACTGAACAAAAATGCCACACTTCCACAACGCGGTATCTCCGGATATGCACTGCGTAGGTAGATAGGTACCAACCAAACATTTTAAAACGCTTTTCGGTTATTACCAGTTTTTTCAGTCTATTTTGCCACTATTGGTGTACCTAATTTAACTTTAATTGTGATACAATCTGCACTAGTAGTGTAAAGAAAAAAGAGCTCTTAGTAACATCAAAACAGACAAAGAAATTGGCATGCACTGTAGTGTACATTTTGGCACTATTTAAGGGGTAATAAACACTCGCATTAAGTTTTTGTACCCTTTTGATTTATTTTAATAGTAAATAGTGTGAATGTACCAATGAATAATGTTCATATTCTTTAAATGTGTTTAATAAAGTTAATAAGCACTAAATGCTACCTATTGTATTTTGTAGTTACACCATTGAGTAAAGTGTTCTTCTTTACTCAATGGTTACACTATAGTGTAACTTTTACACTTACAAATCAACTCTAATATTTTTACCCTTACACTTAAAAATTTACAGGGGCAAATTTTTTACTGTGTAGGTACATTTTATGTCTAATAAAGCTAATAAATATGAGTCGTTCCATTTTAAATCGCCAAAAACAAAGTGAGCAGTTATTTGAGCATGGCGCGCTTCGTTTTATTGATTTTTCTTCGCTCCCCACCACCGCAGCGGCCGTCCTTTGGCCCTGAACTAAATTTTCCAACCCCAACCCTGAAATCTCGCAGGCAGACAGTCGGTGCTTTCGAGTGCCTCAAAACCGGAGCAAAAAAAAAATTGAGAAAGGCGTGACGACTCGCTGGACAAAACACTGCCGATGATAGTGAAGTTGTAGTTTTTAGTGAATTTTATGAAAGATATTTGTGGAATTTTCATCTGAAATATGGTTAGAGATAATGACAACATATTTTAACGTAAGTGGTTTTTCTTTGTAATGCTGTACAGTTATTTTTTTTTTGAACTTCTGTTGAAGATCTTAATTTAATACTCTGACACTGTCAAATTGACAGTAATATTTATTACTGATAATTTACTTGTTAATTATTATATAATATCGATAAAAAAGATAACTATGCCAAAAATAATATCACATTTAAAGGCAAAACTTTATTAGTTATGCCAAATGCCTTATGGACATTTTTGGAGTAAAAACTGCTTCTGGTAGTCTGGTACACAGGATTTTCGATCCATGAAATGAAATTGTTCTGTTTTCTGTAGAAACTATTAGGAACCCACTAGAAGTGTTGGTGATATTGGGCTCTAAGAAAGTTGCTGACCCATCACTAGCAACAGTTACTGTACTAGATGTGTACACGGAAAGAAATGGATAGTCGAAAATTTATAGTACACTATTTTTATTAATAGTCACTATAAATTATATTAAAAACAACATACCAAGTTATTAGCACTGATTATAAAAATATTTTAAAATAGAATTGTAACTTTAAATATAATTTTTAGTAAGTAATACACAACAAATATAGTAACATATTCAATTAACTATATTTTATACCATCTTTAACTAAAATAAATTTAGTTACACCAGATTTTAAATTATGGCAGTAATAAATATACGAGATATTGCTTATTACTATAATTATAGTAAAATTAACTCCCTTGAATAGTCAACCACCATGAGTCAACTTTAAACTTGTCTAGTGACGAGCCGATCCTTCATTTGCATTGCATAGCAACAGTGGCAGTGGTAAGAGTAGGTTGTTATTTTGTGGTGCATCGTATTATTTAAATATGTTACAATTTTGGTTTAATTTCAAGTATTTTAAGAAGGGAAGTAAATGAATTTATTTATAGATTATGTAAAAAGCTAACATTCACTTACAAAGTTATGAATATGTGATTCTAAATAGTACAAATTAATTTTATAAAAATACCGAATTATTTAGATACTTAAACTTAACTTTTAATTTTATCTTTTGTTCTCTTGTGATAATTAGAGTTTAAGAAAAACTGTTATATTATTTTATTTTTGAAATATTTTTTGTTTTGTTTTAAAATGTGTTACAATTTTGGTTTAATTTCAATTACTTTAAGAAGGGAAGTAAATGAATTTATTTATAGATTATGTAAAAAGCTAACATTCACTGTCATTCACAAATTAATTTTATAAAAATACCGAATTATTTAGATACTTAAACTTAACTTTTAATTTTATATGTTGTTCTCTTGTGATAAATAGAGTCTAAGAAAAAAGTATTTTTAGTTATTTTTGGAATATTTTTGTTTTGTTTTAAAATATGTTTGTGGCAATAAATATATAAAATATTTATATGATGCTTTTATTTTATAATTTTATGTATGTTTGTATACAGCTTTACTCTAGAGTGATTCAGAATTGTGAAATTAAATGTCGAGAGATATGAGTAACCCATAATAATAGAAGACATTTGAGTATAAGAACCCATAATGGGTTCTTATACTCAAATGTCTTCTATTATTGCACTGAAGACCTCTTGACATTTCATCCCATGATTCCGAATCACCCTTTATATGTACCAAAAAACTGTTAAATATTACTATAAAAACTAGTTAATATTTACTAAAATTTATAGTAAAACATACCAAATAAAATATAATTTAAAGAAAAAAAATAGTAAATCTTATAAAAAAATATAGTTAAAATTATTATACCAAGATATTTATTACTAATATATTGTTTTTTAAATATTACTATAACATTTTAATAAAAGCTAACATAATTTTTTTGTACAAATTACTAGAAGGCATATATTAAAATTAATTATATTCATATATTTAAAAAAATCATAAAATATAGTTAAATTTACTAAACAATAATGAAAGATAATTAACATATTTTTATAGTAAATTTTAAAATATCAGATAGCTGTCCCTATATTTATTAAAAATTATAGTATAACTTACTAGATTTATATTAATAATGACTATATATTTCTTTCCGTGTAGGATCTGTCTGCCATGGCACATGGTTATTCTAAAACGAAATAGGAATTTCATCTTACTATGTATTTAGAGGCGAATCCTAAAGATTGCTGAAAGTCTTAAAGCAATATATACTTTCAGGACGCCCTGCAAGGATATCATGATGGTACTGAAAGACTATGATAAGTTTTTTTTTATAAATAAACATTTAAGAAAAATGCCGAATATCAAGATAAACTGTATCCATGGTATATATATATCTATATGAGTACACATTTACCTTTTTGTTATTTAGATATAATTGAGTAATTAAGTTACTGGGTAATGCATGGCAGACATACAATTAAAAAACATGTACAACTTACCTTGAAAATTCGGGATTAGAAAGTACAACCCCCAAAAAATTAGCAAATATAACAAACAACCAAACACTACCTACACCAGAGATAACCCATAAACTTACATCAAACGGCGTCACCAGAAATACCGATTAATCAGTTGATCTCGTTTAACTATACGCACGTTCGTGATTGCAGGTTGCCGATGTGTGTTGTGGCAGGGGATGCCCTTGCGCGTTTGTCTGAATTTTAGCACTCATTAAATTGAATATAGGCCGCATTGAAAAAATGGGAATTATAATTGGGCAAATAACAAGTATTTTTCAAGACAGTGAAAACATTGGTATTCACTGTAAGACAGTAATAACTTACTTTACCGTAGGTTCCATTGGAATAAAAATCATGATTAAAAGAAACAAAGACTATTCTTATTTAATTTTTTTTAAATTTTTGGTAGAAGCATTATAACTTTTAATATAAATCAATGTTATATTTAATTAAATAATGTTAATTTTACCTTGATCAGATAAACTTTAAATACAATCATTTCTAAAATTTTCACGGAAGTACCTACACATTTCCATTAGGTTTGAATCTAAAGAGTCATTCACTCTATAATAAGTAATTTTAACTTGATAATGTTTTGTTATGGGCTGAATATAATATTTGTAGTAGGGTCATTTTCAAGAAACACCCGCTTTCAGGAAAATGAAGATCAAATTTTTTTTTGCTTAAATTGACTTTTGGTTGGATGTTTAGAGATTTCTTTACTTAGGTACATTTAAGACAGGCAGTGCACTTTTTAATTTTTTTTACGTTTTTTTCAAAAAAATGTGTTTAGCTAGCTTTATATGTCTCCACTGTGTTACCAATTTGAAATCCAAAATTTAATTCAATAAAAAAAGTTGTTATAAAAATAATTTAAAATAAAATGTACTACTTATAGTATAGTTCACAAACTTTTGACTCCAATTTTATTTTTTATTAAAAATTGTATGCCTTTTTTAAATATTTATGTTAGTTAAGTTACTTTTTAAAAGACACCATTCCGATTCTTTGTTAAAAAAACAATACCATTCATATTTTCTTTTAGTCACTTTATTGGTGAGTTAAACTCTAATTTATAAACAGGTATTACCAAGTGATAGTAAAATCATTTTAAGGATTTTTTTTAACAAAAACTAAAAAAAGTAACGAAATAGACATTGGTATCACAACGGACTGGGGTACACAAAGGACTTAATCAGATAACGTAAAAAAGAAACTATATAGGGTGGTACGATTTTAGAGTAATGCAAAAACAAAATCCCTTGTAGTGGTGCTCACTTGCAGAATAACAACTTAGATTTCTAAATTGTAGACACCCTTTTTCTTTGACTATAAGCTGGTGAAGGTCCCTTTTAGTACTTGTATATTGCGTGTAATTTTCCCTTGTGTGTAATCTATATTATGAGTTGTAATCACAAATAATTTTAAATTGGTTTATCATAAACTAGTTTTAATAAAAGCGACGGTAAATATCCACTTTGTTGTCGAAAAATTCTATTGCGTCACCCTAAATTCCATTGCGTTACCATAAGGTAACATAGTGGACTCGGTAACGCAGTGGACAAAGTTTTGTAAAACCATATTTAAAAAATAATAATAAGACATTACAGTCATTAATTACTCTCAATGAGCTTTAGTGCCCTAAAATAAACATAAAAATGAAAAATAGTATTTTTTCTTACCTTATTTTTATTATTTTTTTGAGTAACTTGGCGTACAAACAATTATTACATTCGCGTTACCCGCACCTGTTTCAACCGATATCTTCTTCCTGAGTGAATAAATAAATTCAGCTGGGTAATGTGTACGTCCGAACATCATTTGTTGATCACGTGAGTGCCAAAAAAGTTGCCATATATATGTTTTTTTTTTAATATTCTATCGGTAACGCGACGGACGTAACGCAACGGAAAAAATGTCTAGGACATGAGTCAAATTTAAAAAAAGTAGATTAAAATTAATTATTTTATATATAAATTGTTTAATGTATTAACTAAGGATGTTGCTATAAAGGATTGCTATAAAGCAACACAAAGTTCTGGTTATTCAATATTAAAAAAAAACATGTATGTAAGTTTTATAAAACGCTAATGGGACATGCGAAAATGTGTGTTTCACAAGTTTCAAAATTAAAAAAATATATTCTGAAATAACTAAACAAACATTTTCTGAAAGAGTTTACTAAGGGCTTGTTAGGCTTTCACTTGGTTTTTAAATCAAGATCCGATAATTTTTAACAAAGTTATTGGAATTCAAACTTACGGACAGCGGAAGGCGGGTGTTTTTTGAAAACCACCCAGTAACATCAATCCCTTTAACTTTTATTGGAGAAATGAAAAAACAATTAATAATAGCATTGTTACCTATTGAGTATTATAGTGATATAATATCAAAGCGTTTTTTCTATGTAGTCCTTAGTATTATACATTATAATTATTATTAGTCACTAGTATTAACGTCCAGTGGCTTTAACAAAATACCCATTCACCATTGGAGTCCAATGATTGGACAACATTTACTTTTATATAGATTCTTTTCAAAGCAAAGATTATTATCCGCTAGGAATACTTTGTCTCTCCCGGGCCGTAGTCACCTATATTTAACTACTT